GTGGGGGGTTGTGGGGCTGGGTTTGGGGCTGTGAGCGGAAGTGTGGGGTTGGGTTTGGGGCTGTGGGTGTGGGGAGCTGCGGGGTCTGTCGGGGGGCTGTGGGGACTGGGTGCTCCCCAGGCAGACAGGGGCCCTTGAGGAGTCCTCGGAGTTGGGCAGAAGGAGGCGGAGCCCGGCGTGAGGCGCTTCCCAGGCTCTAGTGAGTTCCTGGAATTCGGGGATTCCTGCGCGGGCAACAGCGCCTGGAAGGCGGGGCCGGAGGCGGGGGGAGCCCTCGGCGGGGCGGGCGCTGAGCCCGGCGGGGCCATTCACTCCCTCCGAAGCCAGCGCCCAGGCCCGCCAGCCGCCCCCGCGGCGCGGTCTCCACCCCTGCTCCGACCCCGGCCCTCGCAGCCGCCGCAGGACGTCGTCTCCACCTCGCGGCGCCCTCTGCCCACTGCGAGCCCCGCAGCCTGCGGCGAGCTCAGGTGACACTCGATCAGAACCGTCGCTGTGCCTTGCACTGTGTCACCGTAAGGTTCTCCTCAGGCGAGCTCATGTAACGCGGACGGCGACCCTCAGGGAGACGCGGCCGACGCCACCTGTGAGGCCGCGGGCTGAGGCGCCGGGTCAGAGGTCACGGGGGCGGGGCGGGCTGAGTCTGCAGCCGCCCAGGCCCCGCCCCTCCCGACGCGGCCCCGCCCTGCTCTCCCTGCGCCTCACCCGCGCCCAACCGCGTTCTTGCCCGCTGGGTCCCCTGGGCTCCTCAGGTCCCTGACCGCGCATCCTGGGTCCTCCACGCGCGCGACCGTCCTGCTCCTGAAGGGGCCTTCAGGGTGTCCGCGGGACGCAGCTCTTCCTCTCTGACCCCTCGGGCCTGTCCTGGGGGGCCGCCCTGGAAATAGCTCGAAGGAAGGAGCCCCAGTGACTCAGGTGACAGTCTGGAAATTCAGTGGCGTCAGCTCGCGGTATTTTAACAATGGGGCCCCTGCACGGGCCCAAGACACCGGTCAGCTCGGGGCTGCGCCAGGAGCCCCATCGAGGCACACACCCATTTCCGGGATTGCCCCTCACCCCGCCCCCGCCGCACGCCCCCCGCCCCCCGCCCCCCGCCCCCCGCGCTTCCGCGAGGTCTGGGCGGCTGCGTGCGCCCGTCGCGAACTGCCCTAGGTGCACGGTCCCGCTCCAGCCAGGCCCGCTACGCCTGGAGCGCAAGGAGCAAGTTCTGGCGGCCCCACCTGCAAAGCAGATCGCTTCTCACGACCGTGCAGCTCCGCTCGCTGCAGCCCTGCCAGCCCCGCCTGGACGCAGACGGGTCGCAGCCTGGGAGAGCCTCCAAGGCTGCAGGCGGGCGCGGGGGCCCAGTCCAAGGCGAACCCACAGAGGGCTTCCCCTCTGGCTCCAGCGGCCTCTTGACCCCACCCCACCTGGCACCTGCGGCTCTGCCAGAACTCACCCTGCCCCTACCTTCCTGCCAGCCCCCACCCTGCTGAGTGTTCGGGGCCTCCCTGCTGCCTGCAACGTTCTGTCAGCAGCCAACGGGCCGGGCCTTCGGCCTTTGCACGTCCCGGTCCAGATGCGGAGGTGAGCGGCGCACTCCCTGGACGCCTCTGCTCCAGTGCTCCCCCTGAGAGGCCTTCACTAAACCCGACTAAAGAGCACCCACCCCGTACCCCGCAGACCTAGGATGCACCCACCCGCTAGGGTATCTCAGTGCCAGGGCAAGGTGCGGGCCATCCAGGCTCATCCCAGCACTCTGACCCTCGGTCCTCCCACTGTTTCTCTAGTATCCCCTACACGCCGCATCTCGAGACTCAACCCCGCTGAGCTCTGGGGTCGTAGCTGCAGCTGCTTCGGGGCTCCAAGACCAGAGAGGAAGCAAAGGCAGAGCTTGGCAGCCAGGCATCGCCGCTTTGGCCTTGCAGGTGAGGGGGGTGATGATGAGAGTTCCCACTGAGATCATGTTCCTTGTGGCGCAGGCACCGTTCTGAGTGCTGGACCTGTATCCACCACAGCTCGGTTCACAGACAAACAAAGGGAGGCCTCTGTGGAGTGTCAAGGGCATGCTGCGTGGCTGGAGGGCACCAGGTGGGGCTCCTGTCTGCGTGGATGGTGGGTGGGGAGGTGAATGGACAGGCAGCCTCATCTGCCAAGCCTGGAACGCGTTTGCCCTTGGATCTGGGGGGGCCTCCCACAGGGATCTCCTGTACAGACAGGAAGCAACTTGTAGGCAAGGTTGTCCTGGGGCGCAGTCCAGGAGGCTAACGTCTCCACGGAGAAGCGCTGTGCATTCTCCACAGATGCTGACAGCCCTGGGGTGCACTGTTAAGTTAAAGGAAAAAAAGGAACAATACTGCTTGAGAAAAAAGTAGGGAGTATTTTAGAGTGTGGGTGTATATTTTATATATATATAAACTTTGCTTATTTTTTCAAAAAGAAGCCCCATGGATATGGGCAGAGAGGATGGAGGTGAAAGTGAGAGACTTCTTTCTCTGGGTGCATTTTTTCTAATTTTTTTGAGATATAATTCACATATCATGTAATTCACCCATTTGCTGTATATAATACATTGGATTTTAGTATATTCACAGACATGTGCAACCATTAGTAGTTAATTATAGGATATTATCTCAAAATGAAACTCTGTATCTGTTAGCTAGCACCCTGATATTCTCCCATTTTCCCAGCCCTAGGAGGCACTAATCTACTTGCTGTCTCTGGATTTGCCTCTTTTGACTATCTCATACAATATGTGGTTTTCTGTGTCTGTCTTGTTTCATTTCGCATATATGTTTAAGGTTCATCCATGTTGTAGCATGTTTTAGTACTCCACTCTTTTTTTTTTTTTGAGTCTCCCTCTGTAGCGGGTTCACTGCAACCTTCAACTCCTGGGTTCAAGCGATTCTCCTGTCTCAGCCTCCCGAGTAGCTCGGATTGCAGACTCGCCACCAGGCCTGGCTAATTTTTGTATTTTTAGTAGAGACAGGTTTCACCATGTTGGCCAGGCTGGTCTTGAACTCCTGACCTCAAGTCATTCACCTGCCTTGGCCTCCCAGAGTGCTGGGGTTACAGGCGTGAGCCACTGTGCCCAGCCCCTACTCCCTATTATGGCTTAATAATACTCTGTCCTATGGATCTACTATTGTTTAAAGTTCATTCATTCACTGATGGATGTTTGGATTATTTCTATTCCTTAGCTGCTATGAATGCTGCTACTATGAACATGTATGTACAAGTTACTGTGTGGACATAAGTTTTCTTTTTTCTTCCTTTATTTTTTATTATTTGACATAAGTTTTCATTTCTCTCAGGTATACGCCTAGGTCATGTGGCAATATTATGTTTAGTTTTAAGGAACTGCCATATTTTCCATCTGTACTATTTTACATTCCCACTGACAATCCATGAGAGGTCCAGCTTCTCCACATCCCCCCATGCTTGTCGCTGTCTGCCTTTTTGTTCACAGCCATCCTCGCAGATGGGAAGTGGTACCTTATTGTGGTTTTGATTTGCATTTCTCTGATGGCAAGGGTGCACATTTCATCTACAGTTTTGACATTTAATTTCATTTAATAATATCACATCAAAATTAATTTCTTAAAATAAAAATGGGGGTGGGGAACCCCCAAAATATAAAGAATTGAGTTTCCCAAGTCATGCTGCTGCTTGGTGGTAGAACTGAGATTCTGGCCCAAGAAGTGTGCCTCAGAGTCCCCGACCCTCCACCTTCTGCCTACTGGATATTCGCCAGCTTTTTTGGCTGTTGTCCAGTCAGGGCCTGTGATACACCTTCCTTGGGAGGGTTGCTTTAACCAAGACAGAGGATGGTGGGTGGACCACCCATCCTCCCAGGCCTACTCCCTCTGTTACCAGCCCACTTCTCCAGCTGAGGAGGACATCTGCTCTGGGGCTGGGCGCTTCCCATGCCCTGACTGGGTATGGATGGTCAGGCTGAGAATCCCCTCCCCATAGCTCCCTCGCACTCCAGAAAGGCTGGTGCCTGAGGATACCCCCTTTTCTGGTCCCCAGCTCAACATCTAGAGTGACTGGAGGGAGGGATACAGGGATGTCTGAACACACTGGGCGAGGGCGTGTTGCGGGGAGGCTGGCTTTGGGAGATGCCTCCCCACACAGATTTGTATTGGGGATGCAGGGAGGGGCTGGGACACCCTGTCATCCTGTCCTCGCTGCTGGACATCTGGCTGGAGCCACTAGACAGCACAATTGACTTAAAGCTGGTACAGCTTTTCAGGGACAGATGACCAGGGCTCAGGGGCCTACCATTACCAACCAACCACAGTCAGGTGTCACCAGGTTAGAGAGTGAGACAGATGTCATTTAAATATCTATTGGTTCTGCTAACAGATAGGAAGGCCTGGGGGTGGGGGAAACAGAAATATAGGAAGCAGTAAATAGCCCAGTGGGACAGAAGTGTGCAGCCACCAGAAGGGGGCTGGGGACTGTCAGTGAAAAGAGTTAGGAATTAGGTGACATGTGACCAATGTCCAGGGAACTTCCGTAGGAGGGCTCTTCTCCTGCCATGTGAAAAAAATTGGCAGAGTAACTGACACAGGATCAGCCTCCTGCCTGGCTGTAGGCAGGGCCACTGCAGACATCAGATGCTCCACCAGCCAAGAATCTAACCCAATATTCCTTAGAAAGGTAACTCTGATAACATATTGATGACAAAATTGTAGAATTGTTCATCCAGATGTTAATGAGAATCAAACCCACAATTTTAGCATTGTGAAACACGTGCATATGGTCTTTTCAGCATTTCTTATGTTTTGGATAATGTGGCCTGTAAGAGTCATACGCCAGCCTTGTAATGAGAGTTTAAAGTTAAAATTGAGGAATTGGCCGGGTGCGGTGGCTCACGCCTGTAATCCCAGCACTTTGGGAGGCTGAGGCAGGTGGATCACAAGGTCAAGAGATTGAGACCATCCTGGTCAAC